CAGCAACAGGAATTATTTGCAAAAGTAAGTGAGCTGGGACTGGTATACACACGGTTAGAATAATTAATGCTGTAGACCTAGTGCAACAAAAACATGTGCAAGCCTCTAGAAGTATCCTGTTCCTTGTAGATTGCTATGGCATTGTAGATGCTGTTGACTCTGGCCTGTTTGAATTGGGGAAACTAAAGACAATAAATAAGGTGTTGGTTCGTGTTACTTTTGTAATTTGGTGAATAGAACTTTCATACAAAGAGTTAACTTATTAGTTAACTTATTTTGTAGGCTTTAAAAGTTTTCTTTTTCAAGGTACTAAGGCAGGTATTTCCATTCTGTTGTGGAGAATACATGAAGAATTATGTGACTGAGGAGGTATAGAAATGACTGGTGGTATTTTAGGAAATTAGCAATTTTTATGCATTAGAAAATAGAAATATCTTTACTGGCCATCGATACAGTATTTTCTAAGTATTTGGAAAAAAGTGTTTAGTTGTTAAGAATTTTTAATTTGTCCCTTCTCATCTTCCTTTATTCCTGAAAAGATTCTGATTGAGTGAATTCATCTAATTTTAAGGAGGCGATTCCTTGCAAGACATCTGTACAGTCTTTCATCTCTGCCTTTTTCCCCCTGCACAGGTTTTGCAGAGGGTTTGCAGACAACTCCAAGTTTAAATTTTTGAAAAAACAATTGTATTTATCTTCCTACACCATCTTTTCCTCTTTTTCTTTGTTTCAGAATAAGACAGTTCTCTAGACTAAGCAATGTGAGAAGCATCTTCTTTTGGTTTTCCTCTCTTACTCGGGGCGTGAGCCTTATTATGTCAACTTACTTATTTTAATTTTTTCTTGTGAAAATGCTTTTTCACTTGTCTTGCCACATATGATTATTGCAACCTCCTCCCCTCTGGCTTTACTATCCTCATATCGCGCCAAAACACTAATCACTATTTTTCATAGTATGTGATGATGATGCCACCTATGTTAATCTCTAGTGCATGATAAATTTGAAGACAGCTGAAGTTTCAGCATACCACATGGCTCTTGTCAGCCTGCAGCAATGTAGTTAGGATGAACTTGTTTGCTTTAGTTTTGTCTGCCTATGCTGGCATTAAAAAGACCAACATACCGTCTTCTGAGATAAGAATTGGATTTACAAGTAACAGTTTTATACCTGTTTCCCTCCCCGCCCCCCTTATTTTTCTTTTTTTAACAAGTAAGTTAACATGGTATACAAAAGAAAAAGCAGCAAAAAAAGTGTTGAGGAAATACTAGTTCCAGGGTAAAATAAAACAAACAGTTGCCAACTTATGTAAACCACATTTTATCTGAAGAATGTCCTGCTGAGATATGTTTTTTTTTTTAATATATATATTTTTTGAAATACAGTGCCCTGATGTCTATCAAAAATATCAGTTGTGATATGTTATTGGAAAAGGCCACTTTATTATTATTGGAAATATTTATTTGGAAATTTTATTTCCAAGGAAAGTAAATACTGGAAATACAAATATGCACTCATATGTGTAAATTTCATATTTTTAGTATTCTAGATCATCATGTTAATGCTGACCGCTTCAGTGGTAAAAGTACCTGCTCCAGTCTTAAAATATTTTCGTATTAATAGTGTAAATGCTTGGACACCTACAGCTTGGAGAATTTTAAATACCTGAAGTCAGTGGAATGGCACATCCCAGTGTTAATATATGTCCATAGATACCTGTGTAACATAAAGACCTTCACAGATGTGACTTGGAGGTGGGAAATATCCCTCACTATGCATTGGAGGAGGGTGGGGGGGAAAGTTCTTTGAAATAACCTGAGCAGTTAAAGAATAAACTCACCAGATCTTGATAATTCCTTTGGATTGTACTGGCTAAAAGCCTTTTATTTTTTTCCTAATTTTCAAATGGCTGAAATGATGTAGTTATATGTCAGGGTAAGGGTGAACAAAATGATCTGTTCATGTGAAGTGCTGAGCCTCTGATTCTTGGTGTGTGCGTGTGCATCACCTTGTTAAGTGTACAGTAAACTTAATTGTATTAAGGTCAGTAGGGAGCCCTGTTATTCCCTAATGTGAAAATACTTATGCTACATGGATTAAAAATGCTGTTGTCTTCCTGTATCTAAAACTACTTAAAATCTTAAATTATTTTTAATGCTTTGTAACTTTGCTACCATTTAAAGTTGAAAATAATGAAAAGCCCTCACTGAGTAGAGATTTTTACCCCTGTAAAATTTTGTTCTTTTTATGCTAGAGTAGACTAGGAGGAGTCGTGACACTTACAATGTGGGATTTTTTTTTCCCACTTGTACTAAATAGATAAATTGTTTTTCTGATCACTTTCCAAAACTTCATTCTTGAGCTTTTTGAAGTCTGGAAAACCGCCTTATTTGTGGATGCTCTGGAAAAATAAAAAAATCAATGAGTGAAACGGAGTTGGAAAGGAATTTATTGCAATATTAATGACAACTCATAAAGGGAGGAAAGTAAAATGTCTGAAGAATTTTAATTTTAAGGAACTCTTTCTAATGCTTTCACTAAACAAAAATTGAAGTTGTGACTGTTCCTGAATACAAGTAACTAGAATACTGTTGCAATAATAGTATCTGCTGAAAAACAAGTGAAAACTCTCAATAGAAAAGTGAGTGGGCATATAGCCGAACTACTTGAAATGTTTTGTTAGCAGCTTTGATTCATGTAATTAAAGGACTGTACCATTCTCAACAAAGACTTCCTTAATTTGCGCATTCTCATTTGAGAACTTAGCAAAGAAGACTTTTTTTTGTAATAGCATGTCTGTGGAGCACAATTGTAGGACAGCACATTAGTAGAAGCTTAAACTTTCCATTGCTCTGCCTCACCTAGGGGTGTGTTTTTTGTTTTTCCTATTAGGAAGTGTTTCTGTATTATCCTTATGCTGGAAGTTAAGTACAGTACCCCCTGTCTTGTGTTTTTGTAAGGCTAAATGCTCAAGATGGTGGCCTCTTTGAGTATCTCTTCTGCTCCTTTGGAGAAGATGTTTTGTCAACAGCAAGAATGAAAAAAGGTTTTATCAAAAGAAGTTGTTTATATTGCAGATCTGAGATAAGTTAGCCGTGCATCTTTGTACAAACTGCAAAGGCAAGTGCAGTTGATAAAAGCTGTAGAAAATAGCCTGTCAGAAACTGCAGGTGCAAATAAAATTGATCTTAAAGCTAAGGTGCTCTAGAGATTCTTCACAAGTTACTGAAAGACTTTAACAATTGAATTCATGTCTTTAGGCTAGA